ATTTTTCTAATATCTGTCCATTGTGTTTTGACTTTATAGCACGATCCTATGTTGTTATCACAACACCTACATTGCTGATGTTATTTTTAATAGCCTCCAGTTTTGCATCTTCGTATGCTTTCATTATTTATATAATATGCTGTAAATTACCATTCTATTTTCTCAGCTCTCAGCCTAAGTGTTATTCTGTGCAGGTGAGCTTAAGGTCTGAGCTTTGCTTTGTAAAGGCTGCATTGTTTTCAGAAGCAGTTTCCATTGAGATAACTATCCCTTTGTAAAATGCAAGTGCCATCTTTTGCTGTTTCATTAAGTAAGCACTGCTAGGTGTTCTTCAGACAAAAACAAAGATGATGGTGACGATGAAGGTGTCCCTTCTGAGAAGAGATTATAAGGCTTGTAGCCAAGGAAGGTGAGGAACTCTAGCATGCAAACTGATAGACCAAAGGCTTTGCATCTTCTAGCATCTGTTCTGCCTTTTCTTCTCAATGGCCTTATTTTTTTTAAATATTATTATTATTATTATTATTTTTTTTTTTCTGGTAAACTTCCCAGGAAATCAGGAAAGGAACTTTTATAAGAAGTGCATTTTACAGAATGGCCTGAAATCATTGCAATTGCTGTGGGGATCCATTTGTTGGATGGAATAAATGAGTGTCTTGAAAATAAGATGTCATTTTGGTATGTGCCTTTGACAGAATGAGCATCAGAAAAGACATTAGGAATAATTACTTTTGAAACAGAAATTTGGGCAAGAGGCAAGTTGGAGAGAGAATGAAAAAGAGAAGAGGTGCTCTGATATGCAGTGTGCAGTATGGAGTATTTTAGTGATGGTTTTTGTCAAAGGAATAATGAGTACTGTGTAGCTGAACTGTGGTCCAGTCAAGAGGTTATGAGTGCAGGAGATGGATTCTTGGAAAGGAGAGATGAAATAGAGAGTAAGGTTCAGGTACCATAGAAAGGTCTATAAGAGTTATTGACTATACCAGTGTATTTGATGAGGACACATTGCACTGAGCCTTGTGCAAATGTGTATTACAGCCCAAGCATCCAAAACTGTGCCTCTCAGTTATCTAGAACTAGTGTGTCACTGGCACTACTGTATGTAGAAGGACCCTAGGGTCTTCTCTTCCTCCAGCAAATGCAACCAGAAGTAAATCTTTGAGCTGCTCTGATTGCTCCATAACTGGTTATCTCCAACACCAGAAGTCTACTTAAAACAGCTGGACTGACCAGAGTTTAGTGCTATAGCCCTGGGCTTACCACCCAACTTTTCCTGTCATTTGTAACTGAAAGAAAGTAGAGGCCAGTCATTTGCCTATACTTACATTCTTAGCTTATAAAATGGAGACTCCATCCAATCAGGCTTAGACAGCCAATCCAAATCTTTGAAATTTCAGACAATTTCTGTTTGAAAGAGAAATTCCTTATAAATCATGGTTCTTTCAGCATATTGTCTTTATTTACAAAAGAATGTACAAAGATACACTTTCCCAAGTATGAGAAGGACCAATTTAATATGGATGATTTCTCACTTTATATTTCAAAATTTCTTTAGATTCAGAAGTTCATCAAATCTCTCAGCTTTCCTGGGGCTAAAAGGCTGTTAATTTATTTCTGAGCTCTTTCAATTCTGTACCTGGGTTGTTGCTTATGCATATACTCAGATTCATCCTGAAATGATATTCATCTTCTTTTCAGACTTCAAAAAGGATTTAGATTGGGTCCACAGTGCTTTCCAAAAGAATAATAATGGATTTTTGCCCAACTTGATATCCTCCATATGTGAGATTTTCCAGAGATACACGATATAGATATTAGATGGAACCATAGCTCAGAGTATCATAGCTTTTAAACTGTATCTCTTATTTTCTCCATTTGTAAGTTTTTAAAATGCATCCACAAAAACTTTGTTTGATTGGGGTTTGATTTATGTGAAAAGAAAATCAAAGAGTAATCTACTCTTTCCTAAACCTCCCCCAGATCTCCTCAACTTTTGGATAACTACATTTGTTGGAGCTTTCTAGTGTTTATATTTCTGTACAATTTCCACTTAATAATTTGCTGGAGTGAAGAGTTGCACATTTGACAAGATTTTAGCAGTAGAGCTTTGTACCTGAACAGTCTTTTTTCATTCTTTAGGATATACTTTTGTAAATGCCTTTTGAAAGATCACCAGGGTGAAGGAGCTGATGGATGACTCCATTTGTGCATTTGTCCCCATCTTTCTGCAGAAACAAAAGCAAATTTTAACCATAGGTGCCTCTTGGAAACTAAAAATGCTGTCAACCTAATACATGCAATTAAGTGTTTAATGATATCAAAAATGCTTATGTGGAAATATGCCAAAGTAACAAAACAAAGTATCTAAGACCAGTCAAATCTTGGAAAATCCATGATGTTTTTTCTGAGAACTGTAAAAGAACTAATCAAAAGAACTAAATTAAACGGTGACTTATCACCCACTTCTGTGGGAGCTGGTTGGAGACGTAATCTGTGCTACACACTTTTACATCATTAGGACATAGAAATGTTGGTCCAATTTCCTGCTTTGTTATTTGTTACTATGAATAAGTAATTCTTCAGTGCATTTTGAATGAAAACAGGAAAATGAGACAGATTTTCATGTGATTCCTAAAATTAGTCAATTAAATATTTATTTTTCTAGTCATTTGGTAAATTGCCTTGTTGTTTAGCATTAGTGTTAAAATTTTATGTTCAAGGAAAAAATCAAAGCCAAATGTTTTCTTTTTCTTTTCCTATATAAGCAGGTGGGAGGGTCTTGAGATGTCCATGTCCTGTTCTTCTTATCAGCAAAATATTTTTTATAAAATTAGCAGCAAAGGAAATATTTCTAGACTGTCTTATTTCTTTCTGAGATATAATTCTTGCTTCTGTCTGAATATTTAAACACATTAATAGTAAATGCTGTTGATTAGATTTGGTCTTTTGTAGTGTGATTTTTATTAATTACATTCTAACTTTGAGTTATTTTACACAATCTGTGATCTTCCAGACATGGTGGATTAAATAATTACAAACGAACACTTGGAGGAGGAAAAAGCACATTTTTCAGGGCTTGTCTGCTTTCATACTTTCTCCTTGAGAATTTTAAGTGCAATTTGTTTATTGGATATATAGACATGGATAAAAGTCTATATGTTGTATGAACTGTTAAAGTATTAAAACAATATCTGCTAAAAGTTGTGTTGCAGTCCGAAGTATGGATCCTGTTTTCAGATGCATTGCTCACATACTAGAGAAACAGTAGAGAAGGGCAGAAGCACTGTTCAAGGGCTGGTTAGTCTAGACACTGGAAGAACCTTTTGAAGAACTACAAGAGACAACGGTGTCCAGCAGATTTTAGCTGAAGTATATGGCTTTATTGAAGCCAAAACTTTTTTTTTTTTTTTTTTTTTGGTAGAGAAAACACTGATGTAAAAAAACACTGTATGAAAGCATAATGCTCTGTGATGTGGTGGTTTTACCCTGCTATGCAGCTAAACTCCAGTACAGTCATTCAAAGGATGTTCCTTTGAGAGAAAATACTATGGAAAAGAGCTCAAGGGCTGAAATAAGGATGGGGAGATCACTCACCAATTGCTGTCACAGACAAACAGACCCCACATAGGGAGAGTAATGCAATGTATTGTCTTTCACTAGCAGTGCAGAGCAGTGTCAAACTAAAAATACCCTCTTCTATGTCATTCCCCCCAGTGGCGCAGGTGAATGGGGAATGGAGGCTGCAGTCAGTCCCTAATTCTGTCTCCTCTGCTCCTTCATGGTCACTCCCTGCCCCTGCTCCCTGTGGGGTCCCTCCCACGGGATGTCGTCTTTCCCAAACCGAGCCTGTGTGGGCTGCCCACAGGCAGCAGCTCTTAAAGAACTGCTCCCACATGGCTCCATACCACGGGGCCCATCCATCCCCCCAGGAGCAAACTGCTTCAGCACAGGTCCCCCACGGGTGGCAGTGAACCCCTGCTCCTGCATGTGCTCCTCTCCACGGGCTGCAGCTCCGGCCCGGGGCCTGCTCCTGCTGGGGCTCTCCATGGGCTGGAGCCTCCTCCAGGCCACATCCACCTGCTCCACTGGGGGCTCCTCCACGGGCTGCAGGGGAACTGCTGCTGTGTGCCTGGAGCACCTCCTGCCCTTCTTCTGTGCTGACGTTGGTGCCTGCAAGGCTGCTTCTCTCACGTTTCCTCTCTCCCAGCTGCTGTTGTGCAGCTTCCTTAACTCTGCTCTCCCAGAGGCCCACCCAGCATCACTCCCTGGCTCGGCTCTGGCCAGAAGTGTGTCCCTTTTGGAGCTGTCTGGAGCTGTCTCTGATCTGACATGTTCAAATACAGTGTGTGAGAGTGCAAAAGCAAGTATGCAAGTTTGCAAGATTTATTGGTGCCCCAGGCCGCAAAATGGACCTATAAACTCAATGTAGTATATCTGTGTACGATTCATCTGCCCCAGGTCTGAGCTATGTGCTTTGGTATTGCTTTATATTTGTAGATCATTGTAGTTCATTGGATATAAACAAGTGCCTAGAAAGAATGAGGTAGACCACCTCTTGGCCATGTGTCTTCTTCCCATGGGCTGTGAAGGGAAACCAGCAAGACTAGCTCAGGCAGAGATGCCTGACTTTTTGATCCTTAAATTGGGAAGATTAATGGCTTTCCTACTCAAGCCACTACGTGGCAAATATAGGAAATGCGTGACCAAATTCCTTCTCTGCCTTGAGATCAGAGTTGAGACTTCCTACAGGGTTCCCACAGATGTGGCATTTATTTTATTTTTTTAATCCTATAGTGAGTCAAAGTAATCAGCCATTTTCACCTAAGCTTTATTTATTTATTTATTTGTTATTGAGAGGATAGTGTGGTCAAATGAGGAAAAAAAAAAACAACAAACAAAACAACAAAACAAGAAAAGATTCAACTACAGAATTTTTTATTATTTTAATAATAATGAGATGTTAAAAGGAGTCTTTGGTCACTTTTTAAACTTTCTTGCAGATTGTTCACAGGACCCTTGCAGCGATGCTGGGTTCTTTGGCAGCTTTAGCTGCATTAGCTGCTGTGGGGGAGGTAAGTTATCAAACTGTAAGTGCTTACTTCCTTACTTCAATTCTGTCTATGGTATCACAAAATCCAGGGGTTGCCATGTTGTGAGTGGACACAGGAGACAGCAGCCTTTTTAAATAGAACAAGATGGTAGGGCAGATATTAGGATGGGGAGTCACCATGGGGAAAGCAGGAGAGACTATGGCATAGACAGAAGAGGAATAAAAGTCTGTTGATGCATTTAGTTATGATTTGCAGGAAGCTGAATACAGCTGTTTTTATCATAATTCAGATTTATTTTAGCACTGTTATTTTCAGTAATGTTAGGTTACCAATCAAACCTAAATGGAAAATACACTGCCTTATGCTGCCCTAAATATTTACACCTCCTGCTTATACTTTCCAATCCCTTTGTTCCCCCCTGTCGCCCCCACTTACTCTTAGTTGATATTTAGTGAAAAGTCTGATTGATTTTTTTTTCTTCATTTTTTCTTATAAATAGTCACCACATCATTGCTATGTTCTTTTAAATTCAGTCCGATGTGTTCACAGGTGAAGCTGTATGCTTTTGTTATCTTATGAAAAGGAAAAATGGGGTGTACCATATAATTCTGTTGTAATTTATTTCTCAAAGCTACATAAGGAACAAGTAGATAAACGAAGATCTTAATGTAGGCTTTTGATAGTGACCCACTTAGGATGCCTGCAGTATTTTAAATACATAGTAATAGTAATAACAATAATAATAATGGAGTAATAAAAAAGAGTCCTTTTTGTGTGCCTTGTAGGAACACTTATTAACTTCTGTCAGAGTTTATTTAAATGTCTCATCAGTTAAGTGAAGTTTATACTTCATAACTAATCACAAGTTAGATGTTCCGCAGTATTTACTGGTAATTGTATTTTTTGATTGCAGAGGCCAAGTATGGTCAAAGTGGTAGAGTGGATTGATTATGAGACACTGGCGCTACTGTTTGGAATGGTAATTAAAATGTATCTCTTGCTCTAAATGCGTTGAGATAATCACATTCAATATCTAGATGTTACTTTTTAAAATGTTTTGTTAATTGCACTTTACTGGGACGTGTTCTGATGAAAATTTGGAAGATATTTATCAAAAAGGATGATGAGCATACCTTTGAAGGAGCCTTTGAAAATATTGATTTTTTTTTTTAAATCTGTAGAGTCATATTGGTAACACACAAAAAACATGACTGAGGTCTATAAATTAGAAAACCTGTTTAAGTGTCAAGTTTTATCACTCTCATTTATCTTGTTAATTTTGTTTACTCAAAAACTTCCTCAAACATGCTCTACTGTCTTTCTTTGTCTTAATGTCATGTTTGGAGCCAAAAAGAGAAAACCAGAAATGGAGGAGAAATATATGATTAGATTATAATAATATGCTATATTATTTTGCCCAGAGCTATTTATGATAAAAAGCATTGTCCAAGTGTGATTAAATGCTGATATAAAATATGCAGTTTATGCAGGAAAAATTACCGTTTTCTGTTTCCATTCTGAGCTTTTTTTTTTTATTTATTTATTTACTGACAATGCTCTGGGTCCCTCTGCCCTCCCCACAAAAAAGGAAAGCAAAAAAAAAAAAATAATCATTTGGGAGGAAAGATGGAATCACAGGCAACAGCCCAGAAAAGTGGGAAAGTGCAGGTAATTCTTGGAGCTGATATTTTCTGTAATCTGTAGAGCATTACTGCAGACAACACACAGTTATTGGCTTCTCTTGATTAATGATGCAAGGGAGACACATTGATTCTTTAATGTATGATGCCTACTTAGACGTTACAAATAAAATTCAACTAGACTAATTTATAGACTGCTAATGCTGAGAACTAAATTTCACCATATGATATCTGAGATAACCAACAGCTGTAGTAGTTATCCTGATATGAAAACAATCAGATTCTCAAAATGGTGGCAGATACAAGGGACTTTTGTTAGGGCCACAAACTATATGACACTGTTTTTGCATAATTCAATTGCAAGCTATTCTTTTTTTTTTTTTTTTTCTTCTTTTGGTAGATGGTTTTGGTGGCCATATTTTCAGAAACTGGATTCTTTGACTACTGTGCGGTAAAGGTAGGTTTGTTTTGGTACTCTTAATTATTTCTAGTTTAATCAAGTTAGCATTTAATAAGATCATCAAAGAACTTCAATAGAACTTTTTTTTGGGCATTTATCACACTACAAATACTACAAAATAATATTTATCACACTACAAATGACAGTAGTGTGACTTGTAGTTTTGCAAGAAAATCTTTTAGGGATGAAAGGAAGTCTTTAAGGCAATTCTCTTTCTACAGGAGAAAGGCAAAGGCCCCCAGTAGGATACACAAGCATGTGGACAATATAAAGTTGAATTATCCCACTAACTTGCCCAGGACTGCAGTTCCTCTGTAGCTGAAATCTGTATTTATGTCTGGCAGTAGGAGAGAGGAAATATGGGAACAATCATTAGCTTTACAGTCACACATGATAAATGGCCACAGACCTTTGCACAGTAGCAAAGATTACATGAAAAGGGTAATGGATTGGCTGTAAAGCAAGTATTACCTATAGTGAGGGACTCCTGTTGCAAAGCTTAATTTTCCTGAGAACTGTGGAAAGAAATAAAACAAAAGCAATAAAGAGGACTGCTTTGAGCACAGAACACCCAAGCAAAATGCACGTGGACAAAAAACCTGTCTAGATAGATATCCAGACTGTGTAGCCCTGGTGGTGCTGCTGTGAGGATGAGGAAGGTGTCCCAGCTTGTGAAGGTGATAGGAAGGCTGAACCCTGTCATGCAGGCAGAAGGTGGGGGCTCAGGCCCCACCCATGCCTGGCTGTGGACTATGAGGTCCTCCGCAATTGTATGATGGAGATGTTTGCCAGCTTCCAATATGTGTTTTGTTGCTAAATTAATTCATATTGGAGAGGGCAGTGATGGACGTGCATGGAGTAGTAAATGCTCTGAGCTCACTGTTGTTTCATCTTTCGTGAAGTAGTTTATCTGTCATTTTTTGACAGCTCAGCTGGAATGGTGTAGTCCCTTAATTTTGTTGTTATTTGCTTGTTTTTTATTAGGCTTATCGATTCTCTAGAGGCAAGGTGTGGGCCATGATTACACTTCTGTGCCTTATTGCTGCAATTCTTTCTGCATTTTTGGACAACGTTACCACTATGCTGCTCTTTACGCCAGTAACCATAAGGTACTTTACTGTTATGGTTTTGGACTTAGTCTTTTATAGCCAGCAATCAGTAGCAGGCATGTGTGCATAAATGCTTGTTTGGACTTTTTTGATTGTCTAAATGGAAATTAAAACTTCAAATACTCCTATTGTATTAGGGTAAAGAGCTGATGTTTTCAAAGGGATCAGTTGTTTTCCTTTTGTGTTGTTTGGTGAACATATATCTGAAGCCTGTTTAACCGCCTCGGGAGTTAACCATCCTGGTTCGTCTCCATATCTGAACTGCAATAGGATATTGCACCAAATGCTCCCTAGCAGATGACTTTTTGTCCTATAAGCAGGGAGATTTTTTTTTTTTAATTAATATTGTCTTGTCCTTTACGGGCTATATACAATTTTGTCTAGTAACCTATGTTTTACATGTGTTATCCCTTCTAATACTTGTTAAAAGTATTAGAAGGGATATTATGTATACTGAGTGGATATTGAGGGATATTATGTATATGAGTATTATGTTCCGACCCACTTCCATAAGCTGGGATGGCACCCATTAGATCAGGTTGCCCAGGGCCCCATCCAGCCTGGCCTTGAACAATTCCAGGGACGGGATACCCACAGCTTCTCTGGGCAACCTTTTCTGGTGCATCATCACCATCACAGTAAACATTCCTTATTTCTCATCTAAATCTTCCCTCTTTTAGTTTAAAGCCATTATCCCTTGTCCCATCTCTGTCTGTCCATGTGAAAAGACACTCTCCATCTTTTTTATAAGATCCCTTTATGTATTGAAGAGCTACAACAAGGTCTCCCCAGAATATCCTCTTCTCCAGACTGAAAATCCCTGGCTCTCTCAGCCTTTCTTCATAGGAGAGGTGCTCCAGCCCTCTGATCAACTTTGTGGTTTTTGTCTGGACTTTCTCTAATAGAACCATGTCCTTCTTGTGCTGGGGACTCCAGACCTGGATGCAGTGCTCCAGGTGGGGCCTCACAAAGGCAAAGCAGAGGGGCACAATCACCTCCCTCACTCTGCTGGCCACTCTGTTGATGCAACCCAGGATGCAGTTGGGCTTCTGGGCTGCAAATGTGCACTGCTGGCTCATGTCGAGCTTTTCATCCACGTGATTATGACATCATTAAAAAAGTATTAAAGCACATCATTAAAAGACACAAAATTCTATTAAGATATGCTGCCATTTTAAAAGGTAGTGTAAAGCAGTAAAAGCCAATTTTGCAAGTGGCATTTATTCTAGATTGGGAAACAGCTGGTGAGTGAAAGCTCCATTTGTCTTCTGTCTGATTATATTTTAAAGAGATCACTTTGCCTTACTCCAGTCAATAATTTCACCTCTAACAGTAAGCAACATTGGAATTATTAAACACCAAGTTTTCTTTAGCTGTGTTGCAGAATATTTTGTATTAACTATAATTGGGAATGGATTGAAACACAGATGTCAGTGCATCATGAACTACAGTTCACAGGCAGAGTTACTGTAGCATTTATTTCTTTTTATACCAAATGAGTTTGTAACACTGAAAAAGGGCAAATTCAGTGTGCAGGAAACATTTGTATTTGAATTACTATCAAAGTGAAAATAAAATTTGCTCTAATCAAAACAAATAATAGCCTATTTCTAAAAACATCATGCTGGGGGTCATTTGTTGTTTTTATCTTACTGTCATTGTCTTCAGCCCTCATCTAAAGCTTCACTACATCACACTGCGCTGCATTGCCATGGAGATAGAGCTTGCAGAAAATGCTACTGATTCTGTGAATATAAGGATTTAGACTGCCATTAATAAGGCATAAAACATGATATTTGTTTCTCTCTGCATTTTGAAGTAAGCTGATAAAAAATTAATAAATACCCATTCTTAGCTATGGTTTATTTTCAAAATGCTTTGTTGTTGGGAACTGGAAAAGGCTAATGGTTGTTCACATGGGAAATTATATAACTAGGGTAAGTGTACTGAGAAAGTTCAGTCCTATGGTACAGCTAACACACTGTAATTGTTCGGTACTTTGGGCTTGGCCTTTCTTGGAGTACATCTGCTGTTCATTCCTCAAGCTACCACGAGGCACATCAAAACAAATCAACACCAAACCCAGCCAAACACTAACGAAATGTTAACATTATTTAGAAATGCTGGAAACAATAGAGTGATGAAGTTCAAAGTATGATTGTAGTATTGTGCCACAACTTGTGCAATTGGGCCATCTGTACTACAGAGTACACTTTTAACTGCATAATTTTACTCTGTTTGGGAAATAATGCATTTTTGCAAAGTTACTTTGTTCTGGACTTTTTATGTACTGATATATGTACAAGCTATCAATGCTTTTTCTGATTTTTAAATTGATACTGTTGGTGACAGAGTAAGTGTATCAAGGTAAGCTTTTGTGCAACACATGCTTTTCTCTTTGAAATATAAGTTTTAATAATATAGACTTTGGTTGAACCATAAAGCTCAACTTCCTTCGGGGAAATCACTGACAGCACTACAATGAACGAAATCCTGAGGATGAATGCTCACTGCCCAGGCTTTCCCACATCCTGTATTAGGTAGAGGGGGCAATAGTTTAATTTAAGCATGCCCCCTTGAAAAACAGAGGAATTTCTCTCTGGGCTTTTACCCCAGCTGCCGTGCTGTGCTCAGGAGTGGGTAACTGAGATGTAGGCTCCCAAATCACACTGGCCCCAATCCTTACTTATTATTAAGCTTTAGGGAAGGGGGAGAACCAGGAGCAGAAAGAACTGGGTAAACTTTGGCTGAAAATTGAGGTCTCTGATAGATGGATGATTCATGGCTGATAGGTGGCCTGTCCTCTGCTTCTGCTCCCCACACGATAGTCAATAACTAGGGCTGAGTACAGAGCTTGTGTTTGCGCAGAATAATTTTCCATATGTCAGTGCCACCTGGGAACCATGGCTTAAAAAGCTGTATAGCACTTAAAATGGGGCTTTAAATTTGAAACTTTCCGTGTAGTTCAACTTTTGGAATAATTGATTACTTCTAATGAAATTCTGTTTAAAACACATCAGTTTCATTTACCATTAATTATTGCATTGTAAATGTAAAATGTCTATATTTTTTGCATTGATATTGCTATAATTACCAAAGTATATATAAAATGAAAATTTCAACTGTACACACACACAGCTATTATGTTTCACATCCTGAAATTTTTCAGTTGAAGAACTTTGTTTCGTAAATTTTATAGATTTTAAGATTCAAGGGAATATAATTATAGTTTTAAAAGGTTAATTCAATTTTCTTTAATCTGCAGGCTCTGCGAAGTACTTAATCTTGATCCCAGGCATGTCCTGATTGCAGAAGTAATTTTCACAAATATTGGGGGGGCTGCCACAGCTGTTGGGGATCCTCCAAATGTGATTATTGTTTCAAAGCAGGAGCTGAGGAAGGAGGTACGTACTGTAAGCTACTCTGCTACTGAAATTAAGTGCTAATGCTGATTTATGCTGTGTTGAACCTTTTCTTCCCCCAGACAGCCATATGAGCAGAACACAATCCGCTTGTTCTGCCACGCTATTTCTTTCTTAGTAGGGCAATCAAACAGGACAGAGTGATCTTCTGGGGAAAAAAAAACCTGTGATGAAGAACAGACTTTCTGATATAGACTGAGAATACTGGTTTCCTTTTATTTTGGGGGTTTTTTGTCAATGACCAAGTAAAGAAGGAATCAAAACAATGGAGGGCTGTAAAGGCAGAAAGTTGGATAAAATAAGAAAGGGACATGAAAATGAGTATGAAAATCCAAACTTTAAATATATTGAGACTGTTTGATGCCTTATTGGGACTTTTAAACAAGAAATAACTGTCTGAACACACCTGTGCACACCGCAAGAGACCACATAGCCCCTGTAGACCTGTCACACGTGTCCCCGCTGCAGGTGGTGGATTTGTCCTCTAGCTGCAGCCCTTTGGGAAGTGGGGGTGAGGAGAGCAGGGGCTCCTGCCATGCACAGGCTCAGCTGGCTCCCACCTCCTGCCAACCTGTTGATATCCTCAGGCTACGATGAGGGATTTTAACTTCCTGCACTTGGCTGTTTTATTTATGGATAAAACTCTTTTCAGTTTTGTAGATGAGTGGTGCCAAAGGGAAGGCTATGGTGACAGGTGCTGGGTGGGAAACTCCTACCCCTGCCAGGGGGACTGTCCTGGTCTTACCATCTTCTCTCCGTCCTGTAAGGGCACCAACCATGTGCTTTCTATTTTTTCTAGGTGTCATAAACCCCAAATTACTTTGTGACGCTAATGCCATATATGAATTTAAAGCAATTTAGTGTAACATATGGGCTAGTGTGAAAATATCTGTGCAAGTGGGATAAGAGATTTTTAGTATAAAACTTTTTTTTTTTTTTTTAAATCTGGAGTTAATTACATTTCTGTTGTACTAAAAAAAGTTATCTTCTAATTAACTGCATACACTCAAATTAATTAAGTGCTGTCCAGGTTGGAAAATGTCTTTGAAAGTTAATAGTGTTTAATGAATTAAACATTTACTTTCAAAATATTTGAAATGTGCTGCAATTAGTTTGGTTGAATGGTGACTTTGGAGACTCTGTAATATTCCTGGCTGAGGATTTGATTGCTAAATTTTACATTTTAAAATATAAAATCTGTGCAATTATTGCAACCTCCTTTTCTAAAGGAGAATAATTAGCACCTGCCACACAGGTCATTTTCCTAAATACTCAGAAACTCATCATCTCTGTAAAACCTTTTGCAGGGGCTATAAACACAGTAAGCAATTAAGCAATCACATTGAAAGGAAACAATTTTATATTTTTCTTGAATGAGATATTGATAATTTTAGGAGGACTCAGATGTATGCATACTCTAGAAGATGTGACACTATCGCAAATTCTGTATTTTAAACAAGCAGAAAAACTTTGCATACATTTTCACTCTGGAGCTTTTTCATACCTTTGTTGGATCAAAGAAGTAAGAATGTAAGAAAATAGATAAGATGCAGCACAGGATTGTGTGACTTGTACTTCTTCCTTCCTACGTTGTCATCTGTTATATCTCAATATATATATAAATAAGAAAGGGTCAAAGACCCGTCCTGGGCTCTGAGGTGGCATGGCTTTTGTGCTCACTATTTATGTTCTCAGTGCTTAGGTCTTAGCCCCTCTGGAGGGGATCTGCCTAGGAGAGTGATAGCGGGAGAAGTGGGATAAAGCCAAGGGGGAGGGCATGGAGAGACCTGGACCATCTGGACTCCTGCAGTCTATGCTGTTGAACTAATATCTAGATTCTTAATTTTGTCCATCCACTCTAGCAAGCTCTCTTTTATTCAAAGATGAAATGTAGACATTGTTTCTGATGCTAGTTCTAGTAGCTGCTGAGAGGGTAGTTTATAGGATCAAACTCAAGTCCGCCACCAAAATACGTGGAATGCCAGCTATATTTGTACTAAGTGATTTTTTTATTTTTATTTTTTGGTGTTTCAGAGGTACAAATTTTTGAATGCAATTACTTATTTTAGTGACATTTTGGAAACAGCACTTCATGCAATGTTGTTTGAAGTATTTATTCCTATGCTTTCTAAAGAAAATAGCTGTATTTTTTTCCTTCTTTTTCAGGTCCTCAAACATGGTTTTATCATTCTATGAAAATTTTCTCCTGCTAAGGAGAATTTTCATTGAAATTTCTCTTTTCATTCTCTTATGCTTCTTTTCCAGTGTTATTTTTGCTCTACTAATACAGGAGTACTTGGACAACTGCCCCTATAAGAGGCCGATAGCTTATTGCACTGTGAAGAGGATTGTTTTTTTCTATTTTAGAAGGTGTGATAAGAATGAGAATTTTACCAGTCTTTCTGATTTTTTTTTCTGTTGTACTTTTACCTCTAAAAGCAGCCTAGTGAGACATTATACAAATTCACACTTTCTTAGGAAACCTTGATTTGTTAAATAAATACAAAATGAAGTGCAGCCCTGTTACATTGGATGCTGTTGTTGTGTTAAAGCATTAGAAATGTTTTACTCTTTGTTTACTGTAGTGCTGAAGAGATTTTTTTACCTAGGTTCTAGGGAAAACTCATGCCATATAAATATATTTTATGAGAAGTATATTTGAATAAATAAGCATTATGTTAAACCTTACTCATTAAAATGTAAGGATAAGTCTGTTTATTTGTCCTGAGGCATGAATGAATACCTAAGGGTGTTTTTTTTTTTTTCTATTTTGTTTTTTAATAGCAGCAGTTAATTTATGATAGCACAATCGTGTCTGGAATTAGTGGAACATTTGCATAATAGGAGATAAAGATTTGTTGTACTCTTACTTCTTCCTAGGATGAAGCTGGAAGAAATCTCACAAAATAGCATTTATATTGTGATATTAGGAAAAGAAAATGATGAAAATAAAGAGATTTCATTAAGAGCAAGCAAGAAACTCATTCAATGAATACAAAACTTCAAAAAATTTTATTACTTTCAGAATACTGCTACTTAGTGGCCATTGTTAGCAAAATTATATTTTTATCTTGAAGAGGTGTTTGCTTTGGAATTTGGGAACTCTGTTTTATATACATAGTACGGCACAAACTGTTTCAAACCAGCCATTGCTTTCAGAAAGGTTGAGTGTTAAGTCCTCTGTATTTGGGAATTTCCTAAGTATCTGCAATCATGCCTTTGATATCTGAAGTTGTTTGGGCCCTAAGCTTAGGCTGTGATTACATGATCTTTGGACAAGGGATGGTGAATAGGTCTCCAGTGCAAAATGGCGTGAACATAGTGTGTATTAATGTATCGAGCTTTATCTAGAAGAGGGAAGAGGTAATGATAAGACAGTTTTAGCTTTTGCTGGATTATATCCTCTTGAGGGTCCCCGTTTATTTACAGTGTTGGTATGTGATAAAGCTTGCACTGTTTATCTGATGTTTGCTGAAGATTTTGGATATTCAGCAACCCACTCAGAGTTATTCTTGCCATTTGACAGGAATTCCCCAGAAAATGAACAGCCATCGGGATCTCCTGTCCTGTTGTTGTGGTTTAACCCGGCTGGCAGCTAAGCACCACACAGCTCTTTGCTCGCCCTCCCCACCCCCCCAAGTAGGAAGGGGGAGAGAACCAGAAAAAAAAAAGGAAAGTTTGTGGGATGAGATAAAGACAGTTTATTAGGAAAGAAATGAAAACAACAATAATAATGATAACAGTACTACTAATAATAATGTGTACAAACAAGTGATGCACAAGGCTCACCACCTGCTGACCGATGCCCATCCCATCCCGAGCAGTGGTCCCCCCACCCTGGCCAGCCCCCCCGTATTAATTGCTCAGCATGACACCATATAGTATGGAATACCCCTTTGGCCAGTTGAGGTCAGCTGTCCTGGGTCTGTCCCCTCCTAGCTCCTGCTGTACGACCAGCCTGCCTGCTGGCAGGACAGAACAAGAAGCTGAAAAGTCCTCGGCTTAGTGTAAGTGCTGCTCTGCAACAATTAAAACATCAGTGTGGTATCAACATTATTCTCATCCTAAATCCCAAACACAGCACCACACCAGCTTCTGGGAGGAAAATTAACTCTATTCTAGCCGAAACCAGGACACTTACATTTCAGAGGCTTTCAGTTTTCATGCTGAAATTTAGCATAATGCTATATTAATTGGTTTTATTGTATGATAAATTTTGGTGCCAAAAAATGTATGAATAGAAGTAGATAATTCTGACCAATGGAACAGAGAAAATCCTATATGTAAGTCTATTAAGGTATTTCAAGCACTGGCAGACTGTGAAATGGATTCCCATAGCTTGTAGGCTATTTTTGTTGAGGTTGCTGTATACAAGCTTGGTAAAACTTTTAATCAGTTTGTAAATCTTCTGCTTATTCTGTCAATGTTTCATCGATTCCTTTCCTCAAGAAAAATGAAACCCTAGGTAAGGTATATGAAATAAAATGTATGGTTTTATGGCTGATTTTAGATTTCTTTTTTCCCCTATCTCTGCATGTAGTAATCATTAAAGAATACAGTGCAAGGCAAAAAAGGGTTCTCATCAATGTCTCAGGCATTATCTTTACGTAGCTGTTAGACCATCAGTGATTTGTCTCTCAGCAACATCATGAGCAGTTCTTCCTGACACAACATACATCTCAGTCACTCAGCTTGAAGGGATGTTTAAGCCAGTGTAGAAATAATAAATTACTCTTGCTCTTCTTCATTTTATTAGCTTAAAAAAAATAATTGAAGGGCACTCTAACTAGAAGCACAGCATTTGGTGATCCCTGAATTCATGCATCTAGCTATAATTTTTGCTTTCTCTTTTCTTTAAAATGGCTGCTTTCTTCTGGAAAAGTCTGAAATACTGCAATTTAATTTCGCACCTCCAAAAGCAGTCAACCCCTCTCCCCCATAAACAATCAAAACAGGTCAGGATGATGGAAAGCTAGCATTTCAGGAAAACAGTATGACACTTCCTCCTAATACGAAATTGATATATTTGACTTCATGTTTAAAACCATAAACTAAAGAAAGATGCCCACTCTGTTTCAGCTTTGAGTCTGTAGGCAAGGGAACCTTTAGGCTGCTGTCTCAGTAAAACAAAATCTTTAGATTTTCATTGTTGTCTGGGGAACAGGAGAAATTTAACACAATCAGCATAGCCTCAAGTAGGGGACATTTGAGGAATGTATTGTATTTATCTGATGGATTGAAATCCCCTGGAAGAAAAGTATTTCTTGCCTTTTGTGCATGTCAATTTTATTTCAGTCTATTGTGCAGGAAAAAAGAAAATCTTTATGAAAAAGACATTTTGTTGTATGCAGCAGACATGTGGAACGCTTTAATGTGTTTTTATAAATGCTGAATCTTGGTCCCAGCAGTGCAGAGAACTCAGGAGGTATAAAAGGCACACAGAGTATGAATACAGGCTCTGTGTAGATGTTGCATGCCCTTACCAGAGTGTGGGCAAGGGAGCAGGAGCAACAGGTGAATTGTCTGTGCCACCATCTTGCGATCCTCTGCTGTGATATTGGTATCTGTGATCTGACCTAAACTCTTTGTAACAGAGCAGCAGGAAGCCTGAGGATCTCTGTCATGATCGTTCCTCTGCTAAATTAACAAATCAGTATGTTGCCCTATTGTCAGAGCTTGGTTTTGCCAGCCTCATTCCTCCTCATCCTATTCCCTTTCCTCTTTTCTATTTCCTTCTCAGAAAATAGAAATGGTCTTTGAAAGTTCTCCAGAAGCTGCCAGTTGGCTACTAGTTACCTGAGAATGTCTGGTGGGAAATAAATCTGCCTGCTCCTTCCCTGAGAGCATATTCTGTGTGCTGGAGAGGCAGGTACTAAGCACCCAGCCCAAAGCATCAGGGTGGGCGGTAAACTCATTTGCAACACCAGCGCTTCTGGTATCAGGAGTAAGAGGGATTGCACATGGTAGTCCTCAGCTTCCTCGTACTGGCAAGTTATCCAGGGTGCTACTGATCATCAGGTGTCATTTTCACATGCTGACTTCTATGGATTGCTGTAAGGAGGAAACAAGAGAAAAAGCTGGGAGCAAGCGAAGAGAGAACTGAATCCAGCCTTGCACTATTGTGGGCAATATCATTGTGCAAGCTCTTTCCTGAAATAAACACACTCCATGTCAGAAAATGATTTGTTTCAGCTGAATTGGAAAGCTATTCTGCAGTCACAGCAGAGAAGCACATTTTGTTCTTCCCCAAGGATCTCAGATGTAAGACAGATCAATGGGGTGATATTATGAAGTTTAACAAAACTCTGAATCTCAACCCAGCTGCTCTTTGAAAAGTTTGAGTAAGCTCCCAGATAGGATGCTAAAAATCAGGTAGATATTTTTTTTTCCCTCTTCTGATGATGTCTGCAAATCACTCTTCAGACTGTGTCAGCTGTTATGTTGTGAAACTATATTAAACCTGATTTTTAAGAGTATTGTGAGCTATATCTCATTTTGATTCCTTTCATCTCTGTCAGTCCTGAGACCTCCTTATTAACCTCAGTATTTTAGTTTGTCTTTCAGGTTGATGTGACTTTCGTTTTCATAGAGAAATTAGTTTTATGTGTTTCAGGGAGCACATTTCTTTTGCTGTATTTTTTGTTTGAGAAGCTTCTGCATTGTAGTACTTCAATAATAAAGCACAGTTGTTTTGCTTTAAAATTGGCGTTTGGTATTCAAAACTTCCAGGAGGCGACTTTGTAAATCTTAGCAGTTGTTTGCCATGAGCCACTTAAGTTCCATTAACATATGGTGGGGCAATCACCAGCTTAAACTCTAGTTTTCTGGGATTCTTCAGGTTCCTATTTTATTTCTTTATCTCCTACGCTAGCAATTAGCTTTATGCCTGAGTATCTCTGCAGAGAATACTCCACCTGGTAGCTGGCACCCTCCTTCAGGATGTGAACATGTTGTTGGCAGCCTAAGAAAGCTTTGTGGCCACTATGCTTATTGACACTAGGTCGGATGTAAAAGTGATTTTCCTGGTTCTGGTAATTGTGGGTTAGGTATATTCTGCTAACACTTTATTTCTTTATTGGTCCTCAACCAGCTGTTTCCCAGCCATTTGGTTAGTCAGAGGCTTTTTTTTTTTTTTTTTTTTTTTTCCTTTTCAGTCAGATTTTCAGGCATTACTGTTTTGTCTGGTGTAGCTACAGTGCTTTTACAGCTTAACTCCTTTCAAGTTCCTAACTCTCAGATCATTTTAAAGACCACCTAAAACTGAATACTTATTTTCCATAGTTCCAAGACCCTTAAATGGCATGTTGTCAATATCTGAGCGATTTCTCTTTGGTTTTCAGGATTCTCAATGTCCAAACAATGCTTTCTGATTTTTCATTTTGGCCATAATCTTAGAGACAACCTGTATAAAAATTAGTTTCACTGTTCATGGCAAATGTCTGTAATTAAGGAAAAAAGTGTGGGGGATATAGACTTTATATACTTTGGGAACAGGTCTTACAAATATTGATCCTTTGTAGATTTTTTTTTTCTTCTTTCATTGCTATTTGTAAATTTCCCAATCTATGAATGGTGATTTTATCCTTCATAGAAATATGCCTTATAGTCTCAAATCTTGACTTGATGCCTACAGACCAAACTTTCTGAGCATTAATAAAAGTTTGGTAGTAAAGAGCATCTTGCAGCGGTGTCAGACATTCAACTGGCTGAAATAATATTTAGGCAAACTGAATGAAGGTATATTTTCCATTGTGGTATCATGTTTTTCTGTCCTATTCTTAAAAAAAAAAAAAAAAAAAAATCTTGTTCCAGTTCCTGAAGAATCATCTTTCTTTTGTCATAAAAAATATGGAACTAGCTGATTTATAATGAAAAGCCAGTGCATGCAGTTTTACCTTTTAGTGCCTGTAGAATAGGCAAAGAATCTACTACTAAATAGTAACTAATGACAAATTTCTTGAGTTAATGTAGCCGAATCCTGTATTTTTAGTAGGACTAAATTCTAAACCCAGGTCTGCATATTTACTTGATTGTCTGCAAACTATGGATTTATTTATTTATTTATTTATTTATTCTAAAAGACCACTAATCTTTATCTGTCTATGAAAGTTCTTAATTACTTTAATCAGTTTCTTGTGCTATTAAAAAAAAAAAAAAAAAAAGTATTATTATTATCTTTTATTATGCCCTCTGATGTAATGGGGAAACATTTTTCCCCCCTTTTTTAAACTGAAGTCATTTCAGCCAGAACATTTTTATGTAAATTGTTTTAGTAGGAGACAATACACAAGAACCCATATTTCAGTTAGTAAATCCTCAGTAGTCTTAACACACAGGAGGTAATGCTGCATGGGAAGCTGTTTTTAATTTGTATTGGCATTACAGAAGGTAGCACACAAATATTTGGTACAAGACAAGTCACTCACTGTTGCACAGACATAGGTGGCATGGGGAGATCCCATGACTTTCTAGAGACTGGAAAGTCAGCAGAAACTTTGAAGGTTCAGTTTGGACAGTCTGAGTTACCCATAGAGTTACTGTGCTCCCAAGAGTCAAGTAGCTGCTCTGCAGGGATCGCCATTTCAGGCAACCTCTGTCCTGTGGATATGGGACAGTTCCTTGCTACCCGTATGCTTGGACATGATCCCCCTTAAAGCTTTGTGTGTAACTTTTTTTGGACAGATTGGTCCTGACTAGTTCAGAATATCCCAGCTGAAAGGCTAACCTTGATCCACTACAGCTTGTATAATACAGAATTACAGAGTAATTCAGTTGAAAGGCTATCTAGTCCAATGTCTAGTCCAGAAGGCTGTCTAGTCCAATGTCCTAATCAAAGCATGGCCAACTTCATAGTATTAGGGAAAATGGTCACTATCAATTTTAATTGTTTAAAGCAGCAGCTTTTTAACATATTACACTTTATATTTTAAGAACTTCTTAATTAAAGGGGTTCATTATGCAAAATATAAAGAAATATATGTGTTTATTAAGCACGCAGAAAAATAATCAGACTGTTGAGGTATATTTTTATTGTAGAAGAACATTACTTACTTTAAATGAAATCCTGGCTCTGATAGGATTATTGTAAAATCTATGTTGTCTTCAGTTTAAAACAAAGCTGATCATTAAAAATACCTATTTCTGTGATTCAGTATGATTTTAAAATGAAGTTAAAGTGATGAAAGTAATTTTTTTTTTTCTTTTAAAATCTGTTTTAGGAACACTGAATGCATTTCAGAATAACTCCTAACATTGTTTTTGAGTTATCTGAACTAAATTGTAATGTTGCTTGTCTCCTTGAAACAGATGAAATACAGCATATACTGTACTTGGAACTGATTTTATTGCTTTCTATTTGTTATTGATCACTAAAGTACATATAGTTGAATACTTTTCCCTGTAGGTATTATAGGAAAATAACTTTTTTTTTTTTTTTTTTTTAATTTATGTTTTCATTTTTATTTCTAGGGATTGGATTTTGCAGCCTTCACAGGACATATGTTTGTTGGTATCTGCCTTGTTGTTCTGGTCTCCTTTCCTTTTCTCAGACTTCTTTACTGGAACAAAAAACTTTACAATAAGGAGCCGAGTGAAATTGTTGGTAAGTGTGAGCATGAAAACATTGTAATAAACACTACTTTAATAGGAATATATGTTAAGCAGGGACTGATTAGTGCCTACAGCAATGTTGTCCTCAGAGGATGTGCCCATTCACCTTCAGTCTCTGAATATTACATTTTAAGGTTTGATTTTTAATTGTGATATTTTCTGACTTCTAGAAATAGATATTTTTCTTGATGCTAAGCTTGAGGTATTGATATGAATAATTAAATATATTTCAAATTTTATGGGGATAACTTGCATCATTTATAGCCAAAGGCTTGAATACTGGAGTGTTCTGTATCACAATAGTTACCATCTGCTCAAGGTGCTCACTTCACAGCTTTGTTTTAGATATATGCCAGGTTTCCCTTATGAGAATGCACTAATATATTCCCTCACTGTTGGTTTCTCCCACTGGATTTTTTCAGCCATATTTTCCTGGTCTGCAGTCAGTGAAGAATGTTTCTTCAATGCTAGAAGAATTTTTCCAGCTTTCCTCTGTGGCTTTTCCAAACTTAGCTTTCTCTGGTGTATAATTTCTGTAATTTAGTACGTCTAAATGCATTTTGTTTTTTAGATTGCTTACTTCCGTAGTTTCTAGAAGTCTTGGTAATGCTGTTCCACTGGCCTTTACAATAGCTGTTGAGTACGTCAGTCCCTTTTTGTCTTTGTGCTTTTATGTCTTTCTATTTGGTGGTTTTGAAGTTTTCGTCATTGTTCTCAGGCTTCTGTTTGAGTGGTGAAACTTAATAATAACACCCAAATGTCTATAATTTCTTTATGAGGTGAGAAATGATTCACAAATCATAATTTCTTAATGGGTTTTGTACTACAAAGATAGCTGAGTGTAACTGTTTCTTCTCCAGGAGTGAAGGTTTTTCATTTTTGCTTGTTGTAGACTTGGGATCCAGGCTACCACAGACCATGTGAATGAACTGTGAATGTGGGGTCTGTTTAGTATGGTGAGGACAGATTTTGATATGGCTGATATAACTTGGCTTCTTTTATAACCCACAGAAGAAGATAAGCCCTTCTAAAGCTTAATATAGCAGTCTACAGTAGAACAGATATATCACATCCCAGAAAGTTTATAACTCTCCTTTGGGTTTAAAGGGAGTCCAAGGTGATTGAGTGGTAGAGATTTTCACAATACATGCCTAATTTAGGCAAGATGAGTACCTCTTGTAGTGACTTGCCTTGGCACAAGGAAAACTAGCTTTAGGAGTATTAAAAAGACAGAAACAACAGTCCTCTCTCCTCAGCAGATGTATCCTGTCTCTTGAATCTCATCTGTAAGAAAGTTCAGACAGAGACTTCACCACCTGGGAAGTTGGCTTTTGTACAGATATCTGGTTTTGAGGGACTGAGGGGCAATGGCCACAAACTGAAGCACAGGAAGTTCCAACTGAATATGAGAGGGCACTTCTGTGCTGTGAGGGTGACAGAGCACTGGCATAGGTTGCCCAGAGAGGTTGTAGAGTCTCCCTCTCTGGAGATATTCAAAACCTGCTTGGATGCCATCCTGCACAATGTTATGAACAATGGTTATCCTGCTCAACAGGGGTGTTGAACTAGATGATCTTCAGAGGTCCCTTCCAACATCAACCATTCTGGGATTCTGTGACTGCAGTGCCCATTCAGCACAAAGTGCTCTCAGCCTATCTGTTCATAGCTCTAGGGGTCAAAGTCCTGCTCAATGTTAAGAAGAAAAGAGTTTTTGGGGTATTCTGCCTAACGGTTTTCTAAGAAAATTAAAGAGAAATTTCTTTCTGTTTGTTTTCTTGGTATGAGATACACGTATTCATTACTGTGCTATTGTACAGCATGAGGCTTTCTACATCCTTAGACATTTGATCCTGAGAGCAAGAGACATAAAGCAATGAGGTCAGTCTCTACAATGCCTAAATATTTATCTGTGACACCACAAAACAAGATTTTTTTTTTTTTTCAGAAATGCCATTGAGAATCTTATTTTCCTAACTTCTCATACTGGAGAAGGCAATGCAAGAAGTTTCCCTCACCTGATAGATAAATCTATTGACCATGTAGTTCTGGGTCAAAGAGAGAAAATATTTTATTTGCTGATAGACAAAACGATAAGACAATTCCGGCTCACCTTTATATACTACATCGGTATACATTCAAAAAGCTCAATTTTTATCTTGGGAGCCAGGAATGCCTTTAGAGGAAATAACTAACTCAATGAAAATTGGTGGTGCTAGCATGCAGAAGAGGACGTTCTCCTCACCTAGCCACAGATATGCCTCAAATTTGTCCCCTTGAAATACTTAATGTTGAGTTTTGCCTTATGGGACGACACTATTGCTGAAAATAATGCATAATCTGAACATGTAGGCAATTCGCTCATGTTTCTATTGCTCACTCTCTTCTGTAACAAAATGCTGAAGTGTAAGTTCCCACCTGTTCTACACAGGACTCAAGAATGACAATCCTTTGTGGATGAGATCATCTCTGGGAGAGGAATTATCTTTTTGTTAAGGAGAAAAGGAACCCTTTAACCTTCCAGATAAAGCCATTTGTAATTATGCATCATTATAAAAAATGATTATTTTTCTTTGTTGCTTGGAAGTATATTATTAAAATCTTTGGTACTCAGCATTTTTTGCAACTTGCCAGCTTTTTTATTTAAAGAGAATTAATTTACTTTTATTCATTTCTTATTTTCTAATAAAAAACATAGCTTTGTGGACCTTTCCATGAATAACTAGAGTTATATACTTCAATTATCTTTAAAAATGCCACCTTGAAAAGTGTCCTGAGATAAGTAATATCTGCAAAGTCAGAAAATTCATTTTATCAACTCTGAGCAATTTTACTCCTAGCATAACAGCATTATTTTGTGAATACACATTTTAGAAAATACAATTATTTTTTTCATCTATAAAATTTAAAACATGCTTTTAAATTTATTTTATTTTTTAATTTTTTTTTAGAAACCAAGTACACATAATAACTGTTGGGTTACCTTGAATAGCACAATCTATTCACGTAGATAGCATTTTTGTGAATGAAACACTGTACAGAAGCTAACATATTTCAATTCATCTCCCAGTAATCGTTGCTACTTGCAGCTTAGTATGTTCAGGTATAGCAGCCTTATAATCAGTATACCATGTATCTTTTCTCATAATCGGCAGCTCCTCCATTGCTGCAAAGCTAATCAGTAGCCGTTCAATTAGAACAAATGCTAAAGCAGTACTCCTTCTATTGAAATTTTCAGTGAAATGGGAAGAGAAAGCGACAAACATGGGCTCTATTAATAGGTAGCTGGAGCAATTTGGATTTGCAGAAGGAGCACAATGTGTTCCAAGGTGTTTTCAGAGGTCCTTGCATTTCAGATGGCAATGATTCTGTGTTAACTTGAAATGGCTTGTTTGAAGCAGCTGCTTTAATCAGCTAAATTTCTGCCATCCCTCATTCTGCCCCCAATTAGCAATTAAGCAAGATATGTGACACTTGTATTATTCTCCTAAGATATTTTTTTTTCACTTTTCCTTGTGCTTTAAGATTTTTCTGTTGTTTTGGCCTATACTGAAAAAGGATAAGAACTAATTTTAAGAAAAAACAGTGCTGTTATTCTGATAATACATTGGCAGATTGATTTCAATGCAGTGTGTTACCACTGTCTTTAAGTTGTTGTCTTTGAACTGAGCTGTAGCACTTGTGCAGCAAGAAAAACACACATCTCTTCCCCAGTAGTACCATTTACCTGCAGTGACTTGAAGTGTAGCATATTACAACATAAAAAAAGAATCTGAAGATCTCAACCATGGAAGAGATAAATTCTTCTGAAAAATGAAGGGATATCATAAGGAATTTTTTGAGTTTGACTTTCATCTGATAAACCTGCACCTTGTTCTGTGTTGTGGAAAAAGATGCTAGGACTGGAGTAGGCTGCTATGAAGTTTTAAAAGGTATATGTACTCTTTCCCAATAGAATAAATAAGGCAAAATAACAGTATATGAGTGGCAGAGGAATTAATGTAGCTGTTCTGTCCCCTCTCCTTCACACTCCCAAGACATTTTCTTACTTGAAATCAAAGTTTTTACATCCCTTAAGGGTTAACCTAGTGTTACTTAGTCCCTGGGAAGCATGAAAAAATATATATATGAAATATGAAATGATATGAAATTATACATATATGAATATGAAAATATGCTGTTATGTTTCAGTTATGAGGCTGTGGAGCTGTGGACCTTAGTGCTTGAGAAGATCCTTTTCCCCAGGACAGTGGTTGACATGTAGTTTGGTGACAAGTATTATGCTTGACATTTTTTGCCAAAGAAGAAGAACATTCACTTGCTGTGATGACTGATTTGGCACCAGCTCCCAATTTCTTCTGTGTTGCTTGCTCCAGTTCTTGATTGTTTTGCTTGTTAAAAGAGAGACCCACTATTGAAACAGGAGGGGTGATGATAAGAGAGGGGGGAGCATGTTTATTCTCTATGTAGTTCACTGTCTGCAGCATCTGGGAAAATAATACTGTGGTAGTATGCAAAACCTACAGCAGAAGGAATTTTCTAATTAATCACAGTCGTGTGTGAAACGCTTAATGTGTGAAAAAACACGACACTGTTTCCCTCAACGTGAAATGTGGTAACCAGATGAGTGAGCAAATCTGTTTCTTCCATGTGGAGCTTTGCAGCTGCTTCTATAAAGGAAGAACTTAGAAAGGAGGAGGAAACAAACAAACAAACGATCAAAAAGAAAACAAACAAAAACAGGCACAAAACTAGCAGAAAATAGGTAGAAACTTTAGAATGGAAAAAGAGAAAAGAATAGGGGAGGGATAATAGGGTTGTCAGATGTGCAACATATAGGACTGTGCTGGCTGTGTACACAAGATGTCCAGATGTTCCTGGATGTAGAGTGTGTTGCTTACATCAGGCCTCATTTCGCATGAAACTATCCAAAGGATGACACAGCTAGAAAGAAAGTCAAGACAGAAGGGAAGATGGAACTGAAAAACCCGTTTA